TCTTACCAGCATGATCAAACGAGGCGAGAGTTGTGAAGAGAATGGACGGGTAAATGACGCCAACTCCCAGGTTGGTGGGGATGATGAAAGCAATGTACTTCCACGAGGCATCCTGGAAGGAGAGCGAGAGCAGCAGGGCGCTTCCAAAGCAGATAATGCTAGCTCCAGTCCGGACAAGTGGGATGAGCTTGCCCCAGCGCGACATGACGATCCCGGCAATGATGGAACCGATGGGAGTAGCTAGCGAAGGGAGTGCTAGGCGCGCGCCTGCCTTTGTGGCCGATTCCATCAAAATGACCTGGAAGAAGAGTGGGATCATGAAAAGAAACTGTTAGAGGAGGAATAGTCAGTCTGGGCCTGGGGAAACACTCTCGTCGATGAAACAAGAGAAGGGTTGGGGGGTATATAAAAGAACATACCCCGTATGCGGACAACCCTGCACAGATGTTGGCAATCTGGGTAGCCACAGGCAATCGGCCCTTGAGCATCCGCAGAGGGATGATGGGGATAGCAGTTGTGCGGCCCTCGATGAAGAAGAAGATGGAAAACAGGGCAACACTGCCGATCAAGAGCCCGATGACCCATGGACTGGTCCAGGGGAGCTCGTTCCCACCAAGACTCAGCCCGAGAAGCTGGACAGAGATGGCAAGCACAAGGAACAGTGCGCCAGTGAAATCGACCCTCTTCCAAACAGCCTTGATCCCGTCTTCGAACAAGTTGCCGGGCTGGTTCTTGACGGCAACAGCTCCCACAAAGAGGGAAAAAATAGAGACTGGGACTTGGAGGAGGAAGCACCAGCGCCAGCCTATCTTGTCAGCGATGGCACCGCCCAAGGAGGCGCCGGAGATTCCACCCAGGCCCCAGATTCCGTTCTGCATGGCCTGGTACATGCCCCGTCTGCGGAAGGGGATCATATCAGAATTAACAATGGTTGCTGTGTCTCATCCTTGATTAGCTAGCTGGCTCCTGGAAGAGAATACAAGGTCATCGGTGTCCTTGTCAATCACATACCCATTGTCATCAACCCAGCACCGCCAAACCCGGTCAGGGCTCGCATACAGTTCAAGGTTACCACATCGCGTGCCAACCCGCAGCCGAGGCATCCCAGGCCAAAGGTGACGGTGGCAATGAAGAAGCACAGTCTGCGGCCAAAAATATCCGAGACACGGCCATACAGCGGTTGGACAGCGGTGCTGGTGACCAGGTAAGATGTGGTCAGCCACGAGGCCGTATTGGCGGAGCCAAACTCGGAGCTGATGACGGCGTAAGTGGCAGCAGTGATGGTGCTGTCAAAAGCCTGGAGGAAGACATTGCTCATGAGGGCGAGCTGGATCCAAAAGAAGCCGCGGGGAATGGTCCACGCCTCCTCGCTCGGGGCGTGTAGGATAGGCTGGTCCTCTCGGGGCTCAGATCCAGGCGGGACATGGTCATGGAACAAGGGTGTCTCCTCGTCGATTGGCGGGGTCCGGGAGGATGATCCGGCCATTTTGAGATGGGAGGCTATGGACTCGTGGGACACTCGGTGAAGGAAAGATTCTGTTTGGGGTTCTAGAACTGGACAAGGCAAGGGAAGAGTACAGATAATAATTCTTTGGCGAAGATCGATGCACTCGTAGAACCGGTAGAAAAAATAGGCGTCGGCTGGGTAGAGATTGTCTGTGTGGGGATCGTAGTGAGTCTTCAATCCTTGCATGTGTATCCATCCAAACCATCACCAATTCGTCTATCTCTGCTGTCACACCGAAGCAACTCGACCAATCCATCGACATCTCTGAGTTGTCCTTGGAGATGGCACCACCGATCAGTTTTACGGGCGTCGCTACATCCAATTGATGCTTCCACGGCACCGTCTCCTCTCTGAATTCTCTGCATGGACCAAGATGACGCTTCCAGTCCCACCAAACCACCAATCACCACGCCGCCAAAGCACGTCATCACCATCACCACCTCCTCCATCAACAACATCACTTACATAGTACATCGTTCGCCAGTGCTGGATGTCACCACCGATAGCGGCATTTAATTCATGCTGATCAATATGACGTGACACTTCACTCTGCTGCTTCATTGGTACCTGATTGTCTCATTGAATGCCGGCTGGTGGTCCACACCGAATGAGTAATGTTTGACCCCTCATCGTAGCTCTGGCATAAAACCGTGATGCCTGTGCCCTAACTTTATGTTTTTCCCACGGACATATCAGCTCGAAAATCTTTGCTCCAAGATCCAATTGCTCCTCCCGCAACAATACCATACCCATTGACAAAAAATCATTGTAAAAAGGAAATTCAAAGGATATCTCAGGGCTTGTAGACTACCACAAGGTGAATGTACCTATTCTTGCACGAAATGGAGTCCCATACCTCTGACGCACATAGCTTCCACCCACCTGATCCTCAACGATGAAGACGGCCAAGTCCACTCTCGTCCCTGCTCTCGTTGCGGCAGCGGCGCTCGCCCAGCCTGCCATGGCAGATTGGCAGTTCCGCTCCCGTCCCGACCTCGCCCCTCCAAGGCTCAACATCACGATCCCGGCCACGGATGCCGTTGAGCCAGGCTATCTCTTCCTCGCTCCGTTCGCCGGCCTGGTCGACACCCCGACCGAGCAGCACGGTCCTCGCCAGGCCGGCCCCTACATCTTCAGGGACAATGGAGACTTGATCTGGTCCGGGTACGGCATATACAGTATCTGGGCCACCAATTTCCAAGCCGGCCGTTGGGGGGGCAAGGACGTGTTGTTCTCGTTCGAGGGTGATCACAACCCCGGGTATGGCCATGGCCATGGGCACATCACCTTTGTGGACCAGCATTATGAAACAATCCGTGAGCTCCGCGCAGGAAATCACAAGCTTGTTGATAAGCATGAGTTCCACATTGTCAACGAGGAGACTGGTCTGATCCAGGTCTACCAGCCTGTCCCTCGTGATCTAACTGAGTGGGGGGCGAGTCCTGAGCAACAGTGGATTGTCAATGCCATTATCCAAGGTAACTTGAACAATATGACCCCTTTCTGGATAGAAATACTGACCAAGCTTCTCAAGAACTTGATATCTCCACCGGCGAGTTGCTATTCGAGTGGGCAAGCTTGGATCATGTCCAGCCAGACGGTATGAGACTCTATTCACAAACCCAGGGCAAACTTCATACCAAACATCTCTAACGCTCCATCTTCACTGGAAAACAGAAGCCATCCTCCCCATCAACCCGGGACAGGCCGGCTCCGGCTACAACTCCTCCGACGCCTGGGACTACTTCCACATCAACAGCGTTGACAAGGACGCCTCGGGCAACTACCTCGTCTCCGCCCGCGACGCCTGCGCCATCCATAAGATCAACGGCACCGACGGCTCCATCATCTGGCGCCTCCACGGGACCCGCTCCGACTTCGAGATGGCCAACGGCACCGAGTTCTGCTTCCAGCACCACGCCCGCTGGCTCGCCCAGGACGAGGGCATCGAGGTCATCAGCCTCTACGACAACAGCGCCCACGGCACGGAGCACAACGACGGCTCCGAGGTCCACACCGCGCCCACCTCCAGCGGGAAGATCCTGCGCCTCAACACCACCTCCTGGACCGCCGAGCTCGTGGGCGCCTACTTCCCGCCCGACGGCCTGCGCTCCAAGTCCCAGGGCAGCACGCAGGTCCTCCCGGGCGGCAACGTCCTCGTCGGCTGGGGGTCCGAGGGCGCCGTGACCGAGTTCTCCGCCGACGGCGCCCCCGTCTTCCACGCCTACATGGACTCGGGCGCCCTCGGGGTCGCCGTGGAGAACTACCGGGCCTTCAAGTACAACTGGACGGGCGTGCCCAGCGAGGAGCCTGCCATTGTCGCGCTGACCGACGCCGCCGCGCGCACCACGACCATCTACGTCTCGTGGAACGGCGACACGGAGACGGCCGCGTGGCGCTTCTTCGCCGTGGTGGACGACAGGGGCTCGCGCGAGTTCCTCGCCGAGGTTGCCCGGACGAGCTTCGAGACGAGCCTGGCTGTCCGCGGCGCGAGCTTCCTATCCGTGGCTGCCGTCGCGGTCGACGCCCGCGGCAAGGTGCTCGCGAACACGGCCGTGGTCCGGACCGAGGAGGAGATTCTGCCGTACAAGTCTGAGCTGGTCCCCTCGCCTGCTCCGGGTAGCCAGATGGTCATCACCCACGAATCCCCCAAGCAGACCGGCAGGTGGGCAAAGGGTGGAGCCTATTGGCAGCTCAGCCAGAACGATGATCTCTGATTGCAGAGCGAGTGATGGGAATGGCCGTGTATCGTTCGCTGGTGAGGCTGATACGTAGTGCTGGGCGGCACGTTCCGAGACCCCAAATCCCACCCTGCGATGTTACGAAACGAACTGAGGTTGGTGATGGACAAGAGTAGGTTGTATGGCGGCCGTCAAATGGGATTCAAATTATCTAGGTAGTATGTAGTCGATGTCATATCCTGCTACAATTGACCTCTACTCATTCCTTGACCACAAGCTGCCACCTGCAGATCCATTCTCGTGATGCTTCGGCAGACATCTCGTCTCCAAGTCGGAGGAAACGACGTCCGTATTAGGCTCGCATGCAGAGTGGGTAAAGGCTGTTGGTTGGTTTTGATCGATCGCCAATGCATCAATTCTCCGACTGCAATCTGTCGCTGGTGTGATCGCTTATCTGCACCAAAAGAACTGGCGGTGTCTGTTTCCTCCTGCACAGTAAAATTTTCTCTTGTATCCCGGTCCCCCTATTTTTTTTTTTTCTTCCGTTTTTTCTTGAGAAGACACAATATCGGGTTCTCCTGCTTGCTTGTGCGCCTTCGCATCGGTTGCCACGTTAGTCCGACTGTGACCGCTCATTTACGTCGTACCTTAGCGCTCGTCGTGTTGGAGCCCAACGCAGAGAACCACATCACATCACATCGCGTCACATCACCTGGATCTCGGTGGTGTGCTGGCCAGCGGCAGGGCAAACAAAACTTACCAACCTCAATCTACCGCACTCAGAGGAATCAGAAGAGCACTCGCAAGCCACCATGTCCACCTGCACAGGATCAAAGGTCCTACACAAGGAGCCACTTGTAAGCCAAGCTCTCGCGCTTCACCCACCACGCCTGCCAAAGATACCAGACTCAGCTGACCAGTAGATCCCCCCAGTCAAATGAAAATTCTCGCTGGATCAAGCTTGAAGGGTGAGCACGACCCAAACTGGGTAGCAGGCGGATGACAGCAGACTGACTGGCCCAGAATCACATACCAAGATCCCACTGGCACAACGCGCAAATGGGAATCCGCCGAACGCAGCACACGGCCCAAGGACGGCGACATTGACGGCGTAGGGATCGTCGCTATTCTCGAAAACCCAAAGACCAATCGCCGGGAACTCCTGCTCCAAAAGCAGTATCGGCCTCCCATTGACTGTATAGCAATCGAAGTGCCTGCCGGTCTGGTCGACCCCGGCGAGACGGCAGAGGAAGCTGCCATTCGGGAGTTGAAGGAGGAGTGCGGCTATGTCGGCGTGGTGACCGAGTCAAGCCCAGTCATGTACAACGATCCCGGATTCTGCAACACCAACCTACGCATGGTTCATATTTCCATTGATATGAGTTTACCGGAAAACCAGAACCCTCAGCCCCAGCTCGAGGAGAACGAGTTCATCGACTGCTTTACCGTACCGCTGGACGACCTGTGGGAAGAGTGCAAGAAGTTCGAGGCACAAGGATACGCCGTTGACGCGCGGGTTGGAACTCTGGCTGAGGGTATCCTGCTGGCGCAGAGACTGAAGCTGTAAGGCCCGTGTATGCACTCGATTGAAATTCTAAAGAAGCAAAGAATGGGGGGAAGTAGAACCATGGCGGCGATAAGATAGAACAACAGAGTAATAGAGGACAGGGGATTCATTAGACAGCCAAGATTAAGACTTTCATATCATCTTCTCTCGACGCAGCCCTTCCCAGAGGGCCAGCGCGCTGAGCGCTTTCGCATCCCTGGAGCCTTCTCGCCACAGGTCTTTCATGGGGACCACCTTGAGGGTAATCTTTTCTCCCTGGTCCCGCAAGCCCGTGAGGCGCCCACTCCAGTCTTGTAGCTGTTCTCTCGGTATGCGCCGTTCGTAGCTGTAAATCGTCACATGCTCGTCGCACCCGCCCGCGCTGGGGAACACGGCGCGGGACAGTCCCTCGCCGCCCTCCCCATCCTCTTTGCTCTCCGCAGCCGGGGCCGCAAGCTCGCTCAGGCAAACCAGGTCGTCCTCGTGGATCTCGATCCCGAGCTCCTCCTCCATCTCCTTGGCCGCGGCGCCCTTGAAGCTCCCCGCATCGTCAACCATGCCCGCGGGGAGCTCCACAAAGCTCAGGCTCCCGGCGGGGACACGCGGCTGCACCGTCAGCACGACATATCTCTCGTCGTCGTTCTTTGCATCGTCTGGGGTCAGGATGACCAGCATGGCAACGCTGGGGCCGCGAAGGAGAGCTGCGGCAGGGAGGGTCTCGCCTGCAGCATTGGAGACGGTAGCCGTGAGCTTGAGGAAGCCGACACGAGTGTGCCCGAAGAGGTCGTAAGACTGGACGGTAACGGATCGGAGCGCGTAGGGGTCGGGGAAGAAGGGGTGTTTCGGGTCCGACTGGAGGCGAAGGGAATTTGACAAGGTTTTAATCCAATTCTATAAGAGTTGGTCACTTAGCCCCTGAACTAGAGCAAGGGATATGGCTTGAAGGTTTCCCCTACCTTGAGTGGACGGAAAGCGAGAACCTGTTCTTCTTTCAAGCCTGGAGGGAGGGAGACAGCAATGTTGGTTTCCGGAAACGTGAAGCTCGATAGTGACGACATATTGCGACGAGGATGGCAACAGTAGCTGACGGTAGTATGCGAGCTCTGGACGAACTTGTGCTGAAGATTTCTAAAGCATCGCATTGCTGGGGGATTGAAACGCATGAAGATTAAATATATTATTGTTCACTTTACAGCCAGCTCAGCCTTGGAGAGCGCCTATCACTGAGCTTCTGTGCTCTAAGGTCTAGCTGAGTGCTAGGCTCACTAGAACTACAAAACAATGTCGTCATCGGGCATTTAGGCTGATAGCGTTCGATCACGTGCTGATAAGAGCACCTAGAGTAGGATGGTTCATTGACTGACCTCGCATCAATACGAACTGCTTTGATTTCTATGAATTATACAGTAAAATGATTTTGGTCTTAGAGAACTTTAAGAAAGCTGTATGGGGAATCAAAACACTATTCGCACTCCCGGTCTCGTCAGGCCAAGGACAAGATGGCGGCCTGATCAGCCCACGGCAAGGCGACCTTGAACAAATGCAGAAGAACACGCATGCTCCTGCATCCACAATACGAAATGTATGTCTCAGCTCAGCTCAGCTCAGCTCAGCTCAGTATCCCGAACCCGACCCAAAAATCCATGGCGAGGATGAAAAGCCCCAGGCCAGCACCGGTAAGAGGACGAGACGAAAAGCTGCAGCCCAGGAAAGAGGCATGGGCAACTGGTCCGAAAGTAAGTGTACACAACGGAGGAAAAGCGCCCGGTTTAATGGCCGTGGCGCGAGATCGAGCTTCAAGGAAAGCGTTTCGTTCCGGGGCGACTGTATGATGTCAATCGGGCTTTTCGAGCAAGTTGGCGAATCTCCTCCATACTCTCGTGCCGCTCCTCTCCCGAACCTTTGAATCGCCTAGTCACCATCATCACCAAAAGTCTGGGATGGATCAGGCAAGTCAGATTATCGGGATCCCTTGTGGTTTTTCTCCTGCTGCAAGCGATTTCTTCTTCTTCCCGTCCTGGCCCTCCATCTCGTCGATAATCCCCTTCAGCTTTTCAATCTTCATCTTTGTGTTCAGATAGGACAGATGGAGCATATTCGCCTGGTGGTGCTTCTTCTTTTTGGCCGGGCTCAGGGGCCGGCCGACCTTCCCCGTCTTTGGGGCCTTGGAGAAGCCTGCCCTCTCCATCACGATGGTGGTCTTGATGAGATGGTCCAAGACGTTGTAGCTGCAGGTCATGATGCTGTTTTTCTCCTCATCTTGATCGATCTTTGGTCGGTTATTTGCCATTTTGGGTATTGGCGGTTCAGATTTAGTCACGAGTAATCAGTCGCTCAATGTCAGGACTGGTGGGAAGGTAGGTGAGGCGGTTGTGGTTGCTGAGGCGAGTGTTTTGTGGGAGAAAGTGCAGTTTTGCTTTTGGGCTTTTGGCCATCGCTGTTGCCGCCCGCTGCTTTTTCTTCTGAAACCATTACCTGCAAGTAAGAAAGTGAGGCTACACAAGGCCGCACAATTGTTGCACAATACAGCGCGGGGTAGTTGCATATTGAAACAATACTTATTCTAAGGCGCGATAGCTACCGATGCAGGAGCGGCCCTCTGGTCGACAACCGCTTGAGTAGCAATCCAACGGTAAAACTGCAGAAATCATTGCAGCACATTTGCCTTCACGCAGTATTTGATATCTTATTGGCTGACGCGGGTTAAATTCGAAGGACTCTCGAAATTCCAGCTGGTTTACTCCTGCCTTGTGATGCAAAATATGGTCCCTAACAAGAATATTCCTTGTGTCAAACCATTGCCATTCGTATAGTCGTTCTAAGAGTCGTACAATACTCTGTTCTAAACAGCCCAAAATATATCGATCTGGACTCGTTCAACATGATTCGCCCATCCCGGGAATCTTGCTTTACCCCAAACTGTGATCACATCCCCTAATTTAAGCCCCCGAACAAATGAGCCGTCCATTGTGTTAGGTCCTCGTCCTAATTCCTCGCTTAGTGATTCCACATTTGGGTCAGGCTGATCCTGCCAGTCCCAGGTCACAATATGCTCTTTGAACTGCCTGGACGCTAGAATATTGTGCTGTATAGCCATTCCATCCTCATCATCACTCAGTGGGTGATGAAAAGCCAATTCCCCATTCTCTCTAGGCTCTAGTCTGGGCCGTATCGGCCGAAGTGCACATAGAGGCAGAGCTGGTGGGGTAGAATTTGGCGATTCGTAGCGAAGATCTAAAGAACATGTTGGGTCACCTAGATATTTTGCCTTTGCGTTAATTTCGTGAGGATCCGAGCGTAAGGAGGGTCTTACAAGTCTGCGAAGCATCGAAACGTTCAAGTCCGACGTCAAACCAGGTCCAGGATGTATTATACGTTCCGTGGTGTTGCCCGGAACCGCCCCAGCCCTGGTCTCGGCTCTTTATGGTGAAGACAATCCTGCGAACGGGGTGGACAAGTTGAGGCATGGCGTAGCTGGCTATCTCTTTGAAGAACTCAGGCTCGTTCTCCTTCGCGAGCTCCAGAGGTCGGACCTCGGTTCTGTCGTATGCAAGCACTTCAGCGAGGCTCTTCTTCTCACGGAAGCCCCTGAAGCCAACAGGAAACGACCTCAACTTCACACGCACGAATAGTTTGTCAGCGAGGCTCAGACACTACAGATACACTGATTGGAATTCGTACATACCACGAGCTGGTTCTCGCGGGCGCTGGAGCCGCTGATGATCAGCGGGCCTTGGATCTCCTTTGGAAAATCGATCTCGTTGCTCGAATGGGCCCAATACTCGGCGAAATCGAAGATGATGCCGATCACATCAATTGGCAGCAACGTTTCGCGGGCTAACAGGTTGCGGAGGGCCAGGATCTCCGCAGGCTTGGGTTTGTATTCCCCGCCCTTCACGGTGGTGTCCTCGTTGCTCATGATGAGGTTTGAGAGGCCCTCTAATAAAGTAGAGAACATACGTCGGAGCGGTATCTGAGAAAAATCAAGCGTATGGCGATGCGAAGCGCAGGTCTACAGGATGGTTTTCCAGGGTGTCTCTTTGTTGCGATGATGGTTGTAGGAGGCAGGTGCAGTGACAACGTGCAATCTAGCACGATTTGGTTATATACGGGTTTGTTAGAGGCGCAGCCAAGGAGCACACCACTATTCACGGGTTGGGTAGAATGGACCGAGGTGGCAGAATTAGGCTTGTAGAAATGGAAAAATGAAGGTGGAGTATGTTTTGCTGCCTACATTCTGATCTTGGATATTTAATATAAGTAAGACCAGTGCTGTTCACGGGCTTGGTTGTACCGGGTCATGACGAAACACATGCGAATCATACTACCCATTTGCGTCACAAGGGCTGCTGGTTGTAGCTGCCCCTCCTACGTAATAGACGTTTGTGCTAGCATTCTGATAAGATAACAGGTTTGGCCGCGGATCACGTCTTTAGGCAGCACTTTAGCGGCAGATCTGTGGCGACATAGCGCACGCAGTCCGCAATCCGGATAATGTTGAAGGCTCCCCTAATGCTGAGATAGGATTAGTTGGGTTAGAGCGACTTGGACAATATGGAATGTTTGATCCTTGGTGTTGATGTAGTGTTTCATATACATTGATTCAAGTGTCGTAAAGTTCCTTGCGCATCGGCAAAGAACGCTGCTTTTCTGACACTAGACCAGTCGAAACCGGATCCGTTGTCTTCAGGATTGGCTAGATGTTGATTATGGCTCTTACCAAGTAAGTTTCCGTCAACTTGGACATCAGTTTGCACTAGCTCATGACCAATTCTAGCTCGCCGCCTCCTCAAACACCACACTTGCTGGTATTATTGGTGGGCTCACACTGAACCCAAAGAACATCACAGAGACGGTTGGAGTGGTCAAGGCTTGTATGCCAATTGCTCCCAGGTCGTGGCTCATTGCTGACTGGCAAAAGATACGACTCGCGTCGGGGCGGGGCCCTTCAAAACCGAAGATGCCGAAGAGTATGTCTTAATTACGATCTTGGAACCACTCTAAAGGCGAATAACACCTCCGTTCCCAGGCTCGGTGGGCACAACTCGAAATCTTGAGTAGTAGGGGACACAACTGACAGGCGCTTACAGACCTTACAGCGACTCGATCAACTACCACTAGCCTAAATCTCACGAAGGTAGACAGTTCCCATGGAAGGTTGTGATGTGCATCACAACGCTTTAACTCTCTACAGCTCGACGTTCTGGATACTTTCGAAACCATCAAGATCGGCATCGCTTACAAGGTCGCCGGAAAAGTCAGTGATGCCAACGAGATCATGGCAGATTGTAGACCCTAACCATTTGGACAGGAGCTGGGTCCACTGGCGGCGTGATAAGATAAAAGCTCCCGCTGGCAAGGCTAGCTCTAGCGGCAGATCGTGTGGGGAGACAGAATTCCGCCCACGTGAAATGGCGTAATGGCGAGTTCCGTCTGCCGCGCCGAGCAATTCGCAACACCTCCGGTCTTGAGAGCTATTAGAAATCATTTTACGCTCATCCGTGGAGGGAGATATGTCTATACATGAACTCGCCTATTTGAACGTGAACCCCATGACCTAACTACATACATTCCCTCCCCCCAATTCATCTGTACTGTGCCAACCGGCAGGACAGCGCCTGCCACGCCGCACATCCCCTGTCAGCCGCCGCTCTTCTTATCCGATAACGAAACAAGAAAAATGTCCCACGCCACTTCAAGGTCGATTGCGGCCACAGTTCGGCAACTTCGCTCGCCTCGTTCACCACGATACTCACCCAGTATCTCATCCAGGTCGCCCTGCCTATCAGCTAGCCACTCTTCGCGATCAATCGCACACAATTCCGCCCTCAATGGATCCCGACGATGTCTCAGTACGACCCTTCCCCGGCGCTCCGGCGCCGCCTCCAACCCACCTATGGCTTTCCCATGCCTAGACGCCCTCGAGTCCCGCTCCGCAAAGCTCGAGGAGGAGACGAGCAACTCCAATGAGCCCTCATACACCTCAGGTGCCACCCTCAACTACCTATGCAAGGAGCCCCTCCTCCTCGACTGGGGCGGCATCCTCCCCGAGTTCAACGTCGCCTACGAGACATGGGGAGCCCTCAACCCGGAGCGCTCCAACGCCATCCTCCTCCACACCGGCCTCTCCGCCTCCTCCCATGCCCACTCAACAGAGGCCAACCCCCAGCCCGGCTGGTGGGAGAAGTTCATCGGCCCTGGGAAACCCCTCGACACGGACAAGTACTTCGTCATCTGCACCAATGTCATCGGTGGCTGCTATGGCTCGACCGGCCCCGGCGAAGTCGACCCAGGCAACGGCGAGCGCTACGCCACCCGCTTCCCCATCCTCACCATCGACGACATGGTCCGCGCCCAGTTCCGCCTCCTCGACCACCTCTCCATCCCCTCCCTCTACGCCAGCGTCGGCTCCAGCATGGGCGGCATGCAGTCCCTCGCCGCCGGCAGCCTCTTCCCCGACCGGGTCCGCCGCATCGTCTCCATCTCCGGCTGCGCCCGCTCCCACCCGTACAGCATCGCCATGCGCCACACCCAGCGCCAGGTCCTCATGATGGACCCCAACTGGAACCGCGGCTTCTACTACTCCAGGGTGCCCCCCCACGCGGGCATGAAGCTCGCCCGCGAGATCGCCACCGTCACCTACCGCTCTGGCCCAGAGTGGGAGCAGCGCTTCGCCCGCCGCCGCGCCGACCCCAGCAAACCCCCCGCCCTCTGCCCGGACTTCCTCATCGAGACCTACCTCGACCACGCCGGCGAGAAGTGGTGCCTCACCTTCGACCCCAACAGCTTCCTCTACGTCAGCAAGGCCATGGACCTCTTCGACCTGGGCAGCGACGCCCAGCGCGAGACCACCGCCCGCCGCCACCAGCGCGAGCAGCTCCTCCGCTCCGGCGAGCCCGCCTCCTCCTTCGCCGCCGACGCCAGCTGCAGCCTGACCCTCCCCTCCAAGCCCTACGAGGAGCAGCCAGAGTCCGCGGCCCAGGCTTCGGATGCGGAGCTCGTCCCTCCTGGTTCTGCGCGACCCCCCGAGGACCTCATCCAGGGCCTGGCTCCCCTCCGCGACACCCCTACCCTCGTCATGGGTGTCGCCAGTGATATCCTCTTCCCCGCCTGGCAGCAGCGGGAAGTTGCCGAGGCGCTACGCCTTGCTGGGAACCGCAATGTCACCCACGTTGAACTCAGCGAGGAGATGAGTCTATTTGGACATGATACTTTCCTGCTAGATCTTAAGAACATTGGCGGAAATCTCCAACGATTCTTGGACTAACTTTGTGTGCAAGGAAGGCTAGCCAGCCTAGTCCAACACATTACGCATCAGATCAAGGAAGCATTAGAAGGGTTACTGGCGTTAATGGATTGCGATTGTAGCATCTTGAATGAAGATAGGAAAAAATTTATTGTTGTATCTGTTAGTCCAAGCTTAGACACTGTGCCAAATATATTTGTGTATATATATATGTTCCCTTTTATCCATTCCTTACATACCCATGGCTCTCTTATGACTAGAAATTACAAATTAGAAATCCAAATGATTTATCAACCAGGTGATAGACCCAATCCAGGGGAGTGAAACTAGTAAAATCCAAAATTGTTGGTCCCCAGCTTTTGACGCTGATTATGTCTGCCCTTAAAACTCCAGCGAACCCAGTCGCAAATAAAAAACAGGTATGCAATAATTTGAAGCACGCATTTCGTTCTTCTCGGACAGATTAGATATAACCTGACGAAACCTCGACAGGAGACTTCAAGCTTCCATTAGGAGTTCCGTTCGGAGTAAACCGACTAGCTCCAGGAGGCAGAGTAATGGGAGGTGGGCGAGGAGGAGCCTTTTGAGCCTCAACCCGGAATTCCCCCCTCACAGGGGAAATCAGTGGCTTATCAATCGGAGTAGATGCCGATGATGTAGCTAGTTCAAAAGATTTGCTGAAGTTTTCGCTCGAGTTTGAGATTGACTTCTCGAGTGACATGAAGGTCGGGCTCGGTAGTTGTGGCGGGATAGGAGAGGTTGGTGAAGACGTGTACGAGCCGACCTCCTTATCTCCATATGAGGCGGAAGGTAGAGGTGAGAGTGGTGCTGGCATAGCTGACATGTGTCGGTCTGCCCGATCCGCCCAGGGTGGGAGAATGAGGTTCTCATCATCGGTTGCTGAATCGAGGGTGTCGTGTGTATTGAATCTCTGATCGACTGGGGAACCAACCGCTCCAAAACGCTCGACACGACGACCCCTAGGAAGACCATTCATCACTGGAAAATCGCCTTCTATTAAAGCTCTAGCCGAGAGGGGTCCCTGAGGCCGCTGGCTGTCATTCATCTTGGGTGGGATAGCGATGGCATCAGGAATTGGCCCCTTCTTCACAGGATTTGCTTTCAAGGGCCGCTGTCTAAGCATCGAGTCGGGCTGCTGTAAGGCGGTCGGGGTATTGGGGGCTCTAGTGTCAGAGTCTCCACGCGCGTGAACAGATTCGGGGAATCGTCGCTCAGGAATAGTGTCTGGTGTCCTGGGCAGGCTCAGATCCGGAGACGGTTGGCCCACTGTAAGAATTTCCGCACTCATTGGCTCGCTCATGCCTCTTTCTGCGGCATTCTTCCTTCGTTCCGAGGCAGACCTCAATCTCGTGTCCTCGGCCGGCGAGCTGGAACTTTTTGGAGCCGGCATGAGGGGTGACGTAGGCAGTGGTATCGAATTATCGACCACGGGCTGTCCAAAGTTGAATGCTGAGAAATTTCCCTCGAATCCTTCGGTCTGCCGCCTCTTCTTAATTGCCTCCTTATCCTCCTTATCCTCCTCCACCTGTTCGCGCAGGATTGCCTTTGCCTCAAGTGCAGTCCGAGAAATACTCTTTCGTCGTGGTGAATGGAACATCATTGTCTCTCGACGAGCCATCGAAGCAGAGCTGTTCCGCCCCGAGTTGTCCCAC